CATCACCATGGAAGATTGTCGTGTAGCCTTCACTGGCTAGCTGGCCCACGGAGATTAAATTCTTTGTCAGGTCGGGAATATGTCTGACATTTTTTAATTCCCAAACAGACCTGTTCAACTTGATTTTTACTGCACCTTTGCCGACAACCTCACATGATTGCTCATTACCAAGGTAAACTTTACCAAGATTTCCAGGAACATAATTCTCGAATAGTTCCTTCTGTGAGGTAGCATGAAAGGATGCTCCAGAGTCTAACACCCAAGACTCTTCTCTGTTCTCCAAAGAACATATCAGCGTGTCTCCTCCTGAGGTTGAAGCAATATTTGCCTCTTCTTTTGCCTCCTGACTCTTCGGTGCACTTTTGCACTGGTTTCTGTAGTGCCCGGTCTTCCCACAATTCCAGCACTCGATCGACTTCGAGATTTGGGAACCACGATGATTTCTGGAACTGGATCTTCTTCCCTTTGATTTGATATGTCTGCTTTCTTTGGTTGAACTTCTTCCTCTCGACTCTGTATGCAATACAGAAGAGGTTGATGGTTCACTCGACTCCCTCCGCCGGATCTCTTCACTGAGAACCAAATTTTGGACATCATCAAATCTCAACTTATTGCTTCCCGATGAGCTACTCACAGCCGTGACCGTAGCATTCCAACTTTCTGGTAGGGAAGACAAAAGTATTAAAGCCCGTACTTCATCATCGAACTCGATCTCAACTGAACTTAACTGAGTTGTAACGGTGTTGAGCTCATTGAGATGATGTGCCACCGAAGCACCTTCGGTCATACGCAAGTTGAACAATCGCCTCATTAAATGAACTTTGTTTGAGGCTGATGGTTTCTTGTACATGTTGGAAAGAGCCTTCATGAGGCCTGCTGTCGTCTTTTCTTTCGCAATGTTAAAAGCAACATTACGGGATAACGTCAGTCGAATGGCTCCAAGGGCCTGTCTGTCAAGGAGACTCCATTCTTCCTCCTTCATGTCTTCTGGCTTCTTTCCCGTGAGTGGTTGATACATATTCTTCTGGTACAGATAATCCTCGATCTGCATCTTCCAGAAGCCAAAGTCCGCACCATCGAACTTTTCGATTTTCATTTTTCCTTCGTCTGCAGCCATCACTTCAACTCTGATCTGACTTCTCTGTCGGATTGTTTCTGTAATTTTGTGAACTACCGTGTTTCAGAACACGTCGGTAGATAAATTTGTAGCGCCGACAAATTTGGCACTATTCCCGTTTTTCACTATTCACGAAATAGTAACCCACACAAAAAAAATTACAGAATTAACAATCTGGCTCTGATACCAGTTGTTGGGAAAAATACGCTGAAATTTCCATGAAGTCGGATCTATAAAAGTGAAATAAAAACGAAAAATTGGACACACCAAATTGATAACGGAGTTCGGCCAATAATGCCTACGTCTCCGGACTACTGCAGATATTTTATTACGAGAAAAGAAAACACTTGTGTTTACAAAATACTCACAAACTCACTCACAACTCACAACTCAAAAATACACACAAAAGCTGAAACTGCTCCCTCTCTTTTTCTCTCTTGCTCTCTGTATTTTTTTTGTTGTGTTGGTGTATCTTCGTTCATCAAATGCTCAGCTATTTATAGAAGAAAGAGTACACCTATTTTTTCCACATTTGTGTACTGATTAATGTGAACAAAGAAGCCTAGCTGATGCTTCTCTTCTT